AATGTATTAGTTATGGAATATCTTGGTAGTGATGCTACTCATTCATATCCAGATTTAAAAGATATATCTAATAGTATGGTCATGGATATCTATATACAGGTTATTACAATAATGAGAGTTATGTTCAATAAATGTCATCTAGTTCATGGTGACTTATCTGAGTTTAACTTATTATTATCTCCTCAAGGTGTGGTATATGTTATTGATGTATCACAATCTGTTGAACATGATCATTATCAAGCATTAGATTTCCTTAAAAGGGATATAGTCAACATAACACGTTTCTTTCGTAAGACTATGATTAACGAACATCATCATGATCATCATGATGATCAACATCAACATCAACTACATCTTCTACATGTAAATACTCTCTTTGACTTCATTATTACTCCTGATGTTCCTTCTATTCATGATATATTATTGGGATCTGAAGATGAATTACTGCTAGAACTATTACCAGATACAGCTAGAACACATCTTACTCCTTCTGAACAGCGATGGTTACTTGCATTATTATCAACTAATAGTAGTAGTAATGATGAAGATGATGATGAAGAGAGGTTATTCCTTGATACTTGGATACCATCTACTCTAAATCAATTTAGTGATCTAATGGAGATGGAAGAGGAATTAAGTAAACATGCTAAAGGTGAGAGGAGTGTATATAATCGTCTATTGGCTACACATAATAACAACAACAAGGATGATAATAATGAGGAAGATGATGATGATCACGATGATGAAGATGAAGGGCAGCAGCAGCAGGAGGAGGAAGAAGAAGAGGAGGAGAGTAATACTGATCATGCTGCTGATGTTGTTGGTGGTGGTGGTAATGCTGATGGGCACATACCAGAAGGTATCACTAAGAGTGAATGGAAGAAGATAGTTAAAGAGAGGCGACGGGCTAAACTTGAGACCAAATGTCCTAAACATCTGAAGAAGAGATATAGGGCAAAGGCTGCTAATCGATAACAACAACAACAACAATTACTTCTACTATTACTTGTTTCTTATTCCCATGATGATGTTTATTGTTGGTAATAATAATAATAATGAAAGTTCATTATT